GTGAGCGCGGGTTGTGATCACATTTGGAAGCAATGTTGGTATTATTTTTTGACAAGTGGAGAGAAGTTCAAGAAGTGGTATTAGGGGGTGTTTTCATCAACTATATCTCTTACACTATTCATTTTCATTCGTATGTGTCCTCAGATACCATTTGTTATTCACTAATAAGGGAAAGTCCCATTCTTATTGAAAGAAAACCATTGAACAACTTTATTAACATGATCACATTATCTTTATCACAAAGATGAATACACATGAATTTTCTTTTTTTAACTTCCTACCATTTGACTCAAAGTGACATAAGGTCCGAAGTTACAATTTTTCAAATATTACAAATCGGTTACATTCATTTTCTAATAACATCTTCAAAGCTTCCGGCATTGTCGTGACCAATTTTGTGAGAATCTCATTGTTTCTAACAGTAATGTCTTAATGAATTTTGCTTGACTAATGGCTCTCCGCGGCAAGCACCTGCAAAGCACATGACAATGTGAAGTTTTTTTCATAACAACAGTTCATTGCTCTATTCAAGGAAACACAAGGTTTATCAACTATCAACAAACACGATTAAACTTTATCAAGCATAACAATAGTATTCAGATATATGGTTAACCATTTACAGAAAGGAGAAGTCATTCCTATCGCGGATCATGCGTAAAACGCCACAGCTTCATTGGCATTTCTCTAGGAGTCGTATTCCTCCTTCTGTCTTCAAAGGAAAGGCAACAACAACCTGTCATTGACAAATCAAAGCTCAGTTACAACATGAAAGAATCAAAACGCGTCAAGCTTCAAATTGCCACCATAGCATGCATAAGCAGAAGGGAAATAAAGTGTGTCTCCAACATGGTCAAGAATTTTAAAACCGGACCACAACATAGCTCTTAAAAAAACGGAAAGACACTCACTGCCAATATTATGTCCTAAACAATTTCATTTAATTCTGAAGCATGTTTCGACACGCCATTCTTGATGAATTCAACATTTCAAAAAAAGAACTCATGGAGCTTGTAAAAGACAGAATATCAGAAGAACAAATATGGATACAATTTTAACATTTAGACGCCGCCAATACCAAGAGTCTGTTAGCTAAAACATCAAGGAGGATTCTACCATGAGCTAGTACCCGACGTGTCGCTTCTACTGCACCTTTGATGTCGCACCTGCGAAAGAAATAGAACCTCAACACATAGAAATATAATAAGTACAGAAGAAGGAACACGAAGGTCAATATCTGCACAAATGTAAAGAGGCCCTAATTGGATCACATAGAATACATTGTTTGAGCTGCAGAATGTTTGTTATGAATCTTCAATTGAGGTCCCATGATGAACTCCCAGGGACGCAGAAAACGATTTCCCACGACTACTTCGCTAACAGCCCATTAAAACCTCTTTATCGCCCTGTTCAAATAAGTCAAGAGAGGAATTCTGAGTTACTTTCAGAGGCACCTGTAAATGTGATTTCTGAGTTGATACACTATACTGCATCAGGGAGCATTGATGGTGTTTCCATAAATGTACCCTTAATTCAAGTCATTGTTTCTCATGTTATGAATCTTAAATCACAACTTAGTGATTCTACGAAGGATGAGGAAGATGTGAAGGCAATTGCTAGGTTATTTGCGGACATGAGCGATTCATATGTGGAGCTAGTCGCAACTGGTTCTGATGAATCAATGTTAATAGTACATGCATTTTTGAAATTTGCTTCACATCCAGAATATGATATTGCTTCTATGACAGTTAACTTTTGGCATAGTCTTCAGTTGACCTTAACTAGAAGGGAGTCCTATATATCAAATGGCAATGAAGCATGCAGAAATAATAGGCTACAGGTTTTTTCGTCCGGCTTATGAATCACTTGTATCACTGATGCAACATCAGTTCTTGGTGGAGATGCCACACTTAAAATTCTGTACCAGAAACTTTTTGAGGATGTATCTAGCAATAGTAATAATGAACAAAAGGAATAGCGTCCAACAGAAGCTTCTTTGTTTTGTATTCAGGCTATATCAAAATACGTGTCAGTCATTGAAGCAGTGTCGTAGATCATGGCCTTGCTTCCAGAGCTTCCTCATTAGCCCCAGTTACTTCAGACAGTCTGCCTAACTATCGGAGCTTATTTAAAATGGATAGATTCGACATCATGTGGAGTGACTATATTTCCTTCAGTTTTTTCCTTCGTTAGTTGATTGTCTATGATTGGGATCATAGTACAACATAGGGAGGCTTTCCATTTCCATATTGTATTTCTGTTATGATATTTCTGATTTGACAAACTCCACAATGGTAACATGGTTAACCTGTCAAACACAAATCAGATAACAATTAAAACTTTCCAAATTAATGTTGACAAAGCCATTAAACTCTTTCCAAAATAAGACTAGACATGTTGATGCAAAGAAGGAAAGAAATTCATCAGATTTTCAGAAAGACAACTTGTAAATTTGTTCAAGACAATATCTTCAGACAGAATAAAGCAGGAATAAAAACCTGTTCAGAATTCAATGGACATTGCATTATAAAAGGCCATTGTTTTACAACACAAAAAAGGGGGAAGTTTTCGAAAACCCTAACAACTTCAAAGGAAAAAAGAGAAGAGGACAAGACTTATCTTCGAGAAACCATTGCGAAGAGCACATCAATTGCACCATGAGCACAACGAAGCATCGTCACTGATCCAAACCCTCATCTCAGCCACCGCGAAATCGCCGAAGAATCATCGTCGTCACCTCCCCAGATTCGTAACCCCAACACTTCTTTTTTATCAGGGGTAATGACTTCCTCAATTAACTTTTTCAATTTGTAACTAATGCTTGTTTTTGGATGTGTTGATATGTTTTTTTGTGTGAGAATCTGTGAGCAAGAAGAAAGGAAGATGGTGAAGAAATCGGAGAAGGGAAAAGAAGATGTGAGAAGAAGAAAAGAAGGAAAGATGGGGCTCATGGCAGGCAAAGAGGGGTTGAAATTGGGGATTAGGATTTTAATTTTTGTTTATATTATTTGTAATCCAATACACGTTCACCCACGACAAGTTTCATGCACCCACATACGTCGCCGTTCGATTCACTGTCAGATCCAATCACACGCCTCACTTGCGCAGTCCCACCATAAGCCCACATCTGCGCATCAATACCCTATCGCTCGCCCATTTAATTAACCCCCCTTAATCTCCTTTTAATCAGCTTTATTCAAACCTAATCATCAATTTATTTTATTTAGTAAATTAATTAATCCTAATTAATCTAATAATTAAGTGTTTAATCCACCCTTTTTAAGATAAGCTAATTAATTATTTATTTCTATTTAACCCTTTTCAGTTAATATATTCACTAATTAAATCCTTTTATTAATTAACCTATTCCATTAATCTCTCATTTAATAATTTAATTTTTATTCACTTCAGTACTTTTTTTCATTCCAACAATTTAGTAATAATTTTATTGGATATAACTTGATCATTTTCTATAGTAATAAAAACCATTTTAAATTTAATTAACTTTTATTTAATAATGATAGCAAAACTTTTATTTAATAAGGAAACTCTTTTAATATACTTATAATCTATTTCTAGACTAAATTCAATTAACTTATAACGTAGTAATTCCTAATTGTTATCCTAAAGTATTAAAATTATTTAATCTATTTTATTTAATAGTGAAACCTTTTTAGAAATCTATTTATCAATTTACTTGATTAATTTATAAAACCTTTTTTTTTCAATAACATAATTCATCCAATCTAATTTCACCAATAATATAACTTCTAATATAAAATTAACCTCACTCATGATCAATTAATACCCGTAAAACTCAATCAACCGTGCACGCTTCCATCTTCCAGCACCCAAGTCGACTATTCACAGCTTTCACACTTGTCTCTTTAGCACTTTAACCCGCGTGTATGGATTTATTTATTGTTGCTTTATTTACCGTATTTATTTTATCGCATTGCACTACGTCCAAAGGAAGAATTTGCGCACGACGTAAAACTTGTGTGCATGCATTTCATATTGCATCATATTCCCCATTTGATCCTTGATCCAATTCAAGTTGATCACTTAAGTTTAGATCCAACCCCATAAGGAGGACCTTTCTCTTTTACAACCTAGATAAACCAATTTCAACTCAATTAAACTATTCAAACTATTAGAGAATTAGACGTGAGTCATCTTGACCGTCGAGATGTAAATCTCTTGCCCTATAACAATATAATCAATATGTAGGACCTTTTCCGCTTAGGAGAGATAGTGGCATACTCGTTGACAATTCCGAGTGTTTGAGCCCTTCTCTTAAGACGATGCAAAGACCATATCCTACAAGTTGTGGTGGTTAAGTCGAGTGTTCTCCGTCGAGATGACAACTCATCTTTTCTCCTAGAATCAATCAATTAACAACCTTACCCTTTGGAAACTTTGACCAACAATCAAGAAAGTTTCTCAAACCCTTTAGGAGAACTACAAATACTCTGATTCCATTCCCGTCAGGATATGTAGGCACAAGATGCGACGTCTTGACGAGTATACTTAGAAATAAACCACTAGGTCTTTCATCCTTAAGCAGATAACCCTTAGCAATAAACAATATTAAAACAAGAGGTTCTTGTAGAGTACTACAGAAACTTAGGATGCTAACACCTTTCCTAAGTTTAACCAACCCCTGAACCTAAAACTCTCTAGATTTTGCATTTGCATTGCATTGTGGGTAATTCGATCTTTTTCCCTTCCTTTTGACAAATAAAAGACCAGTGGTGAACTAAAATGAATTAAGATTCAAATTAATTAATAATTTGGCATCCAATTCTCACCACGACAGTAGGAGAGGTGAGCACCTTATTGAAAGAAGATTGTATAAAGCTATATGTAATCATATTTGGATCTAATTCTATAGTAATATTTCTTGCTCCACCCCCACTAGACATAAATCAGACCACTATCTTATCCTTTTGAACTTTTCTTATCTGCCTTTCAAGACTACTTCATCCTTCAAGTTTCACAAAATGTGGGCTGAACATCCTAACTGCATCAATGTGATTAAATATTGTTGGAAAGCAAAGTTCTATGGATGCCATATATACACTATGTCTCAAAAGTTGGAGCTCCTCAAAGTAAAGCTTAAGGCTTGGAACAAGGAGATTTTTGGAAATATTCATCATCTGCTAAATAATGCTACAACTAATATGAATGACATTCAAGCTCAAATTCAGAGTGATGGGCATAATGATGACCTCATTGCTAAAGAACAAAAAGCTCAATTGGAGATGGCTATTGCCCTAAAGTTAGAGGAATTGTTTTGGCATGAGAAATCCAATGTAAGGTGGCACAATAAGGGACATAGGAACACTGCATACTTCCATAGGATTGCTAAAATTAAGAATTGTACCAAACACGTCTCAACAATTCAGCATAAGGGTGTGACCTACTCTAGACCTGAGTACATTTATCACATCTTTTCCTCTCATTTAGAACAACTGTTTAATTCTTGCAATGACTGCTTTGATAATAGTTTGGTGGATGAGGTGGTTCCTCAATTGATTAACGATCATTTTAATGCCCTTCTGAATGTCCTTCCTAATCCTGAAGAAATAAAAATCGTTGTTTTTTCCTTGAGCAAAAATAGTTCACCTGGGCCTGATGGGTTTGGTGGTTTCTTCTTCCAATATTATTGGGATGTCATTCATACTGATGCTATCAATGCTACTGCCCAATTCTTTTCCACTGGTTGGATCCTTCCTAATTGGAATGCCAATAATATTGTCCTCATCCCTAAGTGATTTAATTCCACCACTATGGATCAGTTCAGGCCCATAGCCCTTGCTAATTTCAAGTCCAAGATTTTCTCCAAAATTTTGGCTGATAGAATTGCCACCGTCATGCCCATCATTATCTCTCAAGAACAAAAAGGTTTTATCAAAGGTAGATCAATTATGGATTGTATATGCTTAACCTCTAAGGTTGTCAACATGCTTCATAATAAAGCATTTGGTGGAAACGTAGCTGTTAAGATTAACATTAAGAAAGCTTTTGGCACTCTTGATTGAGAGTTTTTGCTTAAGGTTTTGAGCAGGTTTGGTTTCTCTGACAAAGCATGCTCGTGGATCAAAGTCATTCTATTTTCTGTCAGGCTCTCCATTTCTATTAATGGTTCCCAGGTTGGATTTTTTTATAGTAAAAGGGGTGTTAGGCAAGGTGACCCCCTCTTCCCCATATTGTTTTGCATTATAGTAGATGTGCTAAGTAGAGGTATTGCTAAAATTATGGAGCATGGTAGCCTTAATCTTTTTAAAGGCCATAAAGGATCTTTTGTTCCATCTCATGTTTTGTATGCTGATGACATAATGATTTTTTGTAAAGCCAGGACCTCTAATTTGGATGCTCTCAAAGGTCTCTTCATTAGATATGACCAATGCTCAGGGCAACATGTTAGTTCACAGAAATCCATCATATACTCTGGCTCCATCTCCTCATTAAGATTTTTTAGGCTTGCTCAAATCCTGGGTTTCCAAGAAGGTCAACTTCCTTTCACATATCTTAGAGTTCCCATCTCCAAGGGTAAACCAAAAGCCTTTCGCTTCCAACCTTTAGTGGACAAAGTCAAATCCAAGCTCTCTCAGTGAAAGGCATTTATCCTTAGCATGACAGGTAGAGTGCATGTGATTAAAAGTGTCGTCCATAATATGCTAACCTATAACCTCCTTATCTATGGTTGGTCTGTCATTCTTATTAAAGAGCTTGAAAGCTGCATGAGAAGCTTTGTGTGAAGTGGAAACATTTGTAAAAGGAAGCTGTTAACAGCGGCTTGGAACAAACTTTGTAGGCCTTTTTCATCAAGGTGGTCTTGGAATCAGATATGTATCCTGTATCAATGTTGTAGCCAACCTTAAGTTGTGTTTGGATTTGTTTAATTCCTCCAGTCATTAGGCTCATATTCTAAGGCTTAGGGTATTGAGGAATAATAAGCACATCAACTACCATATTTCTTCTTCGATATGGGGAGGCATCAAGAGCAGTTTTCAAGACTTGATGGACAATTCCTCTTGATCTTTGGGAGATGGCAAGAATATAAACTTTTGGGTAGATTCTTGGCATGACCTTCCTCTTGCTGAGCAATTTCATATCCCCTTCATCTATCTCTGCAAGTTTGTCCTTGAAAGTTGCAGATTTCATCCATCTTTCTCAATGGTTACTACCTCCAGAGTTTTCTTCTATCTTTCCTAACCTGGATGGGCTCATTAAGAAGGTTCACATTCCCTTGCTGCCTAGAGTTGATGAACTTAAATGAGTTCACTCCCATGATGGCTCTTTCAGCCTTAAATAGGCTTTTAAGTTTAAGGCTTCATCCAACAACAATCTTGTTTGGGCTAAGTTAATATGGAACAAGTACATTCCTCCTTCTAAGTCATTGTTTGTTTGGAAGCTTCTTTTATATAAGGTTCCCACTGATGATGCTTTATCTAAAAAGGGCATTGTTTTGTTTCCCTCTAAGTGTTCTCTCCGTGGTATTCATGTGGAATCTACAAAATATCTCTTTTGACAATGTCCTTTTTCTCTTCGTATCTGGAATCAGTTGTCTTGTGTAATTAACCTTACTCTGAATCTAAACGTTGTGGATATTTGGAGCATCTGCCACCAACCTCACTCTTCTCAAACTCAAGTGGTAATTTTGGCTACTTTAATAAAATCTCTCAACCTCATTTGGCATGCTAGAAACCAGAAGATTTTTGCCAACAAATGCATTCATTAGAAGTCTGCCAACAACATGTTAATTGCTATGGTGAATTTAGCTGGCAATTCTGTCAAAACTTCTACTTCTTGCAGTATTTCAACATTCTTAAAGTTTTCAAAGTAGTCGTGATCCCTCCTAAAATAGTCAGGATTATTGAAGTTATTTGGGTTCCGCCTCTTGAATCCTGGGTTAAATGTAACTCAAACGTGTTTCTCTCGGTATTCCTGGCCAGGCTGCTTGTGGAGGCATTTTTCGGAATCATTCGGCTAATATTATCAGTTAATTTGTTGCAAATCTGGGAGACAACGACGCAGTTAATGCTGAATTCATTGGACTTATGAGAGTGATTGAGTAGACTTTTGATAGAAATTGGAACCATTTGTGGGTTGAAACTGATTCCAAGTTAGTTTTCTTGGCCATTGCAAATCCTCAGTTCGTTCCGTGGTCTTTGAAAAACAGGTGGCTTAATTACATTCACAAAACTAACAATATGTACTTTCACTTATTACATATCTATAAAGAAGGAAACCAATGTGCAGACACTCTAGTTTCATTAGGCCTTACCATTCATAATTTTGTTTGGTGGAATGAAACTCAATGTCTGTTTTTGATTATTTAGTTCGTAACCGTTTAAATCTTCCGTCTTTTCGCTTTTGTTAATTCGAGATGGTTTTGGTTATATGTCTCCCTCTCTTGTTTGCCTCCCATTTCATTTTTTGATTAAAAAAAATTGAACCGAAAGATAAAATAAAAATAGAAAATGAAATATAGGAGGAAAATTGACATCCATTCCATTTCCACCTTTGAAAACAAAAGAGAAATACACAAAAACCAACCACGAAAACATCACAATTCAAATTGAGTCCCGCTAAACAATTTAACTACAACCTGCTTCTTCTTCATTTCTTCAATTAGCTCTCACTACTCCACACTCGATCCCCTTTCAGAAACCTCAAATTTAGGGTTAGGGTTTTGGTTCCTCACCCGCACAGCCATGGAAGCCGCAGTAATCGACGCCGGCTCCAGTCTCCTCAAAGCCGGTTTCGCAATTCCCGATCAAACTCCCGCCATGGTAATACTAATAACAGCTTTCAATTCTGATTTTCGTTTTATCCAAACAGAAGTTCGAGTTTCTTAGTTATGGTTGTTGTTTTTGATGTTTGTGTTTGTTGTGGTTCAGATTATTCCTAGTCAGATGAAGCGCATGGTTGATGATAAAGGATCAGTGGGTGATAATGGTAATGGTCAGTTAGTGGTGGATGATGTTGCGGTGGAGCCGGTGGTGCGAGGTTATGTTAGAGATTGGGATTCTATGGAGGATTTGTTGAATTATGTTTTGTATTCTGGTCTTGGATGGGAAATTGGTAATGAAGGTCAAATTCTGTTTACGGATCCGCTTTGTACCCCTAAGGTATTTGATTTTAGGAGTTTGTTCTTTTATTTTTGATTTTATGTTTTTGGAAAGGCTTATTTGTTATTATCGTATTCTCAGCTTGGTTGAAATTTGTTAACTGCAATTTGAACTTGCAAACTGTTTTGTAAGCACATACACCAACACGACACGGCAGTGGCACATAGACGCCAATAAGAATTTGAGAAACAGAAGTTATTTGAGTGTTACCACATGTTGTATCAGTTTCAAACATCACTAATGCTTCTGATACTAGACACTCCATCAGTTTGGAGTTTAAGGGCTATATATGTTTTGTTCCTGCTTTGATGAGATTGTTTTGGGCTTTACTGACAGATGCAACCGATTTAAGATTGTGAAAATAAGTTATTATGGTTACTGTTTAGTGTCTTAGTGTTTGGTCATGTTTGTCCATACTCTGTCCCAAAGTCATTTTTAAAAAAAAATTTGTCCCAAATTATAAGTCACTTTATAATTCCAAAGCAACAATAATCATATTTTTTCTAAGGGTAATGTTAACTTGTGCCCTTGGGGCACATGTTAAGGAAACCACTTTTAGTAAATTTGTATTGAAAAACACAATTTAAAAATTAATTTTATACTTTAATTTAAGTTTGTACACAATTTCCAAGATGATATTTCTTAATTTAGTTCTTAACATGTGCCCCAAGGGCACAAGTTAACATTACCCTTTTTCTAATATAACATGTATCATTTATTACTTTTTCTTCTTTTAATTCTTTAACTCTCTTTCATACGTAATAAATGAAAGACAAGAGTGTAAAGTCTTAGATCATTTCTCTTCCCCATATAACATTAATCACGTTTCTTAATTATATGAAATGCCTAAAACGGCATATAATTTGAGAAGGAGTTAGTATTACTTAACTTTCGTCTATAAATATCAAAATATGATTCAATATCTATGCAAAATCTGTTAACATAGTCACTGTAATAGTTATAATTTATGTAACAATAATTTCAGACTAAAGCTAACGAACTTAATTGAAATTAGTACTTATTTACACCTTTTATCCAAACAGGGTTTTGAGATGCATCATAGGATTGTGTGTGTGTTCTTGTGTATTATACCATTTGCCTCCTGGGTTATCTTGCTGTATTATGGTGATCCTAAATAATTTTGATATCATATTTGTGTGTGTTTTCTTCTTTTGAATGTTAATGTTTATGATTTATATTTATCCAACTAGGCATTGAGTTGTTTGTGCAGTCTTTTCTTGAAAGTTAAATTGGGGAGAAGATAGTTTTCTTTTGATGTGCATTTTTATACATATAATGTGTGTGTTTTAATGATTTATCTTTTAACATATGTAATTTTTTTATTGTATTCCAGGCTAACAAAGAACAGTTAGTGCAACTGATGTTTGAAACATTCAACATATCAGGGTTTTATGCCTCAGAGCAGGCAGTGTTGTCACTCTATGCCGTGGGAAGGATCTCTGGATGTACGGTTGATATTGGTCATGGAAAAATAGGTATCCATATTTGGAGGGACATGGATTTCAAGATTTTTAGAATTTCTGAATAAGTATTGCATTTAGCTGTTGGTTTGTTTGAAGTGCTTCCTATATGTCAATCATAAAATTGGTCCATTGCTTGCAATTGCATATTCATTTACCCTGCACATTGTATATAGTATGCCCCATGGTTTTTAATATTTATTTATTTGTCTCAGTTGTAGAGATCGATATATCTCTCAGCAAGTACATATTCTGTTTCATATTTTAATGTTTTGTAATGACACAAGATATCAAACAAATAAAAGAATATCAATACTCCCCCTTAAAGTGGCTTAGTACATGTATGCATGAAGCTGTTACATATGCTATATGTTTTATCTTGAATCTTAGAGAAACATAGGAATATGTTTAGTAGTTTGATATTTGAACTTCACAACAAGGCAGAAATAATAATTTCCTTGTATATGACTTTTTCTTAGAATATATAGCATCCGATCACTACATTTTGGGTTAATGATCAAAACTTGTAATCACAATAGCATGTGCTTATTCTTATTGCCATACTATTACACAAAACCCAAACTAGTCAAAGAGTGTGAACATGTCTTATTACAAGGAAATTCCCAACCCCCTTTTATACCCTGCCAAGATGAGTGAGAATTTACTACGATTTTAACTTTTAGCCACGTGAGTTAGTAACTATTGATTATAAAACGCACTTTGTTAAGTAAGCAAGAAAGTTATAGTGAAAGGGTTTTAACAAAAGAAAAGTGAACTAATTTAAGTTTCATATTTAAATCTCATCTTTCTGGGTATTTTCTATTTATCAAACAAAATAACTGATACAATACTCTTACCGTAGATATCGTTCATGATATAGAGTTATCTTCAAATGGTGATGGTGGTAACTTGAAAGACCAACAGTTCTGATATACTTACTTTACACTGTGGTTCAAGTAGCCATTCTAACGAAGTTCTAATACCTAATGCTTGTTACATGAATGGATGACTGAGTGTTTTTCCTTTCAGTTTTACTATGCTCTAGATATTACCGGTTGTTCTGTCTAAATTTATCTTATTTGGATTTTGTATCCAGATATTGCTCCAGTTATTGAGGGTGCTGTCAATCACATTGCCTCGAGAAGATTTGAGTTTGGAGGTACTGATCTAACTAATTTTCTGGCTCAAGAACTAAGCAAATCCAATCCGCAAGTGAATATCAGTGTGTCTGATGTTGAGAAAATAAAACAACTATACTCATGTTGTGCTGAAGATGACTATGCTTATCTGAAGACCAAAGATTATTGTCCTGTGGAGACACATACCCTTCCTGATGGACAGGTCCGCCTTTTGATTCATTTTTTTGATTGTTATGACTTAATATGACAATTGCTCATTTAATTGTTCCTGATTTTATGTTTGGTTGGTTCGAAAAACAAATTTTATGCTCATCTAGATCTTACAATTGGTAATTTAACACTGGTTATGGTAGTGGGAAGCAAATAAAAAGGGAGGTGATGATGAGTTGACTAACTAAGGTGAGAGCAGGGTTTGTTTTTTATTGTCGTTCTTGATTTAAACAATGCCTAAACAGACGAGAGGAGGCGGTTGTCGTTTGTTACTTTGGATTACATTTTATTTATTCCTTATCGACGTCAAATATTATGTTTTTGGCTGGTCATGAGGATTTTTCTTTCATTCTAATGTGTCTGAACAAGATTTAGGTTATTTAAGATTCTATTTTGTATTTTAGTTGAAATATGAAATAACAAGTTGCAAGTCCCAAGCTTTATTTTTTAATGTCTAGATGTGGCGAGGAAATTATCATTTGGGAAAATAAATTGAGTATTGCTTCAGGTCTTAATCTGTTTCTTTACATGGAAGTAACTAAATATTGATGGATAGTTATATCGTAGTTCGTAAAGATTTGATGGGTTCTAGTAGGTTTGTGACCATAGCCATTCCAGAGGAAGAATGTGGTTAATCCAACCTGAAACATGTATTTTTTTATTTGATCAATTATAGCAAGTTATTGGTTTCCTACATGTTGAACAGTATGATCATAGAGATGACGGACCTTTGCCTATCTTTCTTAGGTGATAACAATTGGAAGAGAAAGATATACAGTTGGCGAAGCTTTATTCCAGCCAAGTCTATTGGGTTTAGAGGCTCATGGCATTGTAGAGCAGCTTGTCCGTACTATTTCAACGGTGACATCTGATAATCATCGGCAACTTCTGGAAAATACTGTGGTTTGTGGTGGCACTTCTTCTATGAACGGTAAACAATTATTTCTGTTAGTTATCTATCAAGTACAAGTTTGATCAAATCTTCAATTCTAATCTGTTACATTTTTTCTTCTTTTTTAATTCAAAGCACGGTCGACATGTATTTTATCCCTGCATTTAACTTTTTACTAAATGGAATCACAATTTTATGCTTAGTGTATGGGGTCATATTCTTTGTTAAATTGCAGTGCAATGCCACTGAATATTGGGCCCATAAGATTATTTTTTATTTAGCCTATGAAAATATAACATTTAAGTTGTTTTATTCACTATTTAAATTTTAATAATTTTTACAGGGACTAAACACTATTTAGTCTAGTGTGCTTTTAGTTGCTCGTTGGTGGCTAAAAGTTCATGATTCTATAAGGATTGAATTTTTATTTTAAAATATGTACTAATTACAAATGCGAGTTCCATGATTTTCAATAAAAGGAGGTCAAAGAAATAATAAAGATTTTGAATAAATATTAGGATTTATATGATATATTTATGACTATGATTTTGAACAAAGACTACACACCAACCTACATTTACTCTAAATACAAGACTGCAAATCTAATCACTTAGAAAAACAAATCATGATGATAAATCAAGATGTATGGAAACTATTCTTATATTAGAGATAATCTAAGATAAGAAATTAATCCCATAAAATAGTATAAGATACCATTAGATCATCTTTACTAGTTAACTACTACAATTGATCTCAGTATAATAGGAGAAAGAATAGATCAATGCTCTAGATACAGTAATGAGAGTTTTGAAAATAGTAGTGGTAAAATTACTAGAAAGGTAAATTGACGTCTACGTCCTTCTGTCATAGCCTGAGCAAGAAAGGCACGTGAGTGATTTATGTTATATATCTCTAACAAGGAGAAAGACTACATTTTAGTTATAAGTGAAACTAATAGTTGGTGTGGTGATGTTATTGTTCAAAAGTTTATTTAAAAATAAAAATAATAAGGCCAATTCAACCATCAGTCCCCTCAAGACTCCAGTTCACGATCAGATTTCAAGTTTTTAATGTCTTGGGTTGTGGTTGACTGGACTGGTCTAAGCAAGGTAATTAAAATAGAGATTTTATGCCAAGTCGGAAAGGGGGAGAAGTAACATCGTAAATCGTGGAATTGTAACACTAATTGTAAAATTATACAAAATTCTGAAACATATATATGCATATAAAATAGCATTAGTAAGACAAATAAAACCTAAAATCACTTGAAAATACTTGTGTAAACTTAAATTCATTCATCAGCATAATCATAAACTTAAATTCATTCAAAAGCATAATCACAGAATACAGAGAATACTTATGAAAACCAAATATTTCCATAAACTTAAATTCATGCATAAGCATAATCACAAAATACAGAGAATACTTATGAAAAAAACTAGATTATGGTCTATATATTAAAGATCCATTGATCATTGAAGAATACAGAGAATACACATTTGTCTCAGCACATCTGTTCAATCCCAAAGCCACAAGCTATTCAGATGAAAAAATAGAAATAGGGGAATGTAGTCAAATGTATACCTTTTCTGTTGGATGTGGATGTTGCGATGGATGTATGGTAAGACTATATAGAATAAGATTAGAAATGAAAATATTAGAGAGTGTTGGGGTAGTAGCAGGAGCACCTATAGTAGAGAAGATGGTGGAAAATAGACGTAGGTGGTTAGGGCATGTAGAGTAGAGAGAAGACTTGTAGATTATTATGTGGTATGGAGAGTAGATAGGAGGGAGAGAGGTCATCAACTAGACAAAGAGGAAGACTTAGAAAGATTATAGGAGAAGTTATTAAGAAAGATCTCGAGATTTTGGCGAAAATTGATCCACGTAGCCGACCCCACGTAGTAGGATAAGCTTGGTTGTTATTGTTGTATACCTTTTCCGCTGCATGTAGTTAGCAAGAGACGATTATTCTGTTTTCACTTTATTCTTTACTGCTTGATTACCTTATAGTTATGTTTATTGTCTTTAACCATTGTGTTAATGTTGATTTTGTGTGTTCTATTCATATTTGAAGTACTGTTTTGTTTTACAATAATAAAATCAATCTGTATCTAAAGGTGGAATGTAGTGGTGATCTGTATGACGATGTTTGACCTTTGATGCTACTTCATATGGTATTAAGTTTTTTCTCGCTAGCAAGTATATCTCTATTGTCTAATCTATCAATTGATTCACTATGGTCATGATAAGACGAGGGCCATCTCAAATCAATTTAACCTCTTTCTTCACGAGGACGTTGTTGTTTTTCTTTTACATTCTAACACGCTAATTGTTTCTTCTTGCTGCAGGTTTTGAAGACAGATTTCAGAAGGAATCTTTGCTAAGTTCGTCTGCTGTTCGACCTACCTTGGTTAAGGTAATTTGATCTAGTTTCAATTAGCTTCTATCTTGTAACTGTGAGAACTTCTCAATTAAAATAGGTTTATGGTTTTTCACCTTATATGACAAACCCATCTTCAACAAATTTGAAATTATTTCAAGATTTTTCAACTTTGTTTTCATAAATGTTTATGAATAAGTTTATCTAAAGTGACTTGTGGTCTTGTAAAGTAAATCATGTAGGATGCTTCATAGGCATTATAGTCTTTGTAATTGTTCAATGTTGTCATATACTTCTATGTGCATAATCTTTATCGTTTTTCATTGACTAATTTTTGTTTTTGCCGGTGGATAATCTCTGGTTCATTACAGCCTCCAGAATATATGCCTGAAAATTTAACCATGTATTCTGCATGGGTGGGAGGTGCTATACTCGCTAAAGTAGTTTTTCCTCAAAATCAGCATGTAACAAAGGCAGATTATGATGAAAATGGACCTTCCATTGTTCACCGGAAATGCTTCTGAAATAACGCTTCTGCACAATATCATCGAACAGCGAATTCCTATACACTCATGTTAGATTAGATCATGTGGTAGGCCCTTGTGTTGACTTCAGATTCTAAATGCTAGTCTTGCTAGATGTCCAGGTACTTGTATGAATTTCAACCCTATACAGTGGATCTCCATTAATTAAACTAAAATTTATTTATGCACCAGTGTTTAGGGCACCAAATCTAGACGATTTCTGTAAAATCCGGGTTTGAAAAACGTGTAAGTTACAACAATAGCAGCTTACTTATCTTGTAATTAGTAGAGCCTGCAGGACATTATGCATGTGTTTGGTAACCTGTTGAGAGGGTATTTCTCCCGTCCCTGTGCAAAGAAAACGTTAAAAAGTAAGAAGCTTAGCCCCTTGGAGGGGGAAACAAACAGAGGCTATGTTTGGTCCTCTAACATCTATTTGCACATTTTATACAATTTCACCTCTAACAAACACCAATTTGCTTGTAACTTATAAGTTATACTTCACCAACGTTGTAATCTTAACTTTATCACATTATACCTCAAATGCATGTAACATAACACTACAAAGTAACATACACATATTTTTTCAATCACCGAAAGAAAAAGAAAAGAAAAGCTAAATCTTGAACCACAAGAAACTATCCTCTTAAACAAACGATCCTTAATTGCCTTAATCAGATGATACAATTTACACAATTAACCAAATCTCTTAATTTAATTTAATGTTTTGTTTTAGTTCTTTAATTAAAAAATATTATAAGTTAGTCTTTTAACTTTATTTCCATTACTCTATTTTGCCATTTTTGTCAAGTTTTGGAAAAAAAAAAGAAGCTAAGTTTTGATAACATGATGTGACAATTGATACAAATATGACATATGTATTCAAAAATTGATACAAATTTTGAAGTTTAAAGAATGTATTAATTTTTAATTACATGTGACTCAGATTTGTATCAATGATTATGTCACCAAAATTTGAAATATTTTTGTCAGAAATTGACGAAAGAGATCAAATGAAATAACAGAAGTGAAATTAAGAGACTAATTTACAATATTTTTTAATTAAAAAATTAAAATGAAATATTATATTAAACTAAGATATATATATTAAGAGACTAAAATATATATTAAGCCTATAATTTATAACATTACTAGTATATTTTAAAATCTACTTGTAGTGATATATTACAAAACTACATAAAAAGCTAAAAAGAGGTGGTGGAAAGAAATTCACAATAAAATAGAGAGTAATCCCGGAGAACACTATAATAGACAATCAAGTTTTTCTTTAAGAGTATATTGCTATTTGTCTAAACAAAAAAAAAAAATCAAGAGTATATTAGTAGTATGTTTCACGCAATTAAGTTGAAAGATATTTATTATCTTATTAATTTCTAAATGCCCAAATCAAACTGAAAAGTACATTTTGTCAAAAATATGCTTAAACAACATTTTATTTTTAAATTATTCTATCATTGTTTTTTTTTCCAATACTTTTTGACTAACTAGAATATCTATGCCTTTGTGCCTAATTCTGAATAACTGATTTGTATATACACAAATCCTAATAATTTAATTCTTCCTTCTTTCTTCAAGGTTGACATTTAGGAAAAAACTTTCCACTATTTGTATATCTAACATTTTCACATTCTGCAATGGTGCCATCATTGCCTTCTGGTGTTAAAATCACATCTTGCAAATGAATTCCTTTGCATGGAACAGCTTTGCTGCATTCAAGTTTGATTGCCACTTCTGAGGCACTTGTTCCTCTTATGTTTTGATACACCACATTGCTCAATTGCACTGCAGAATCCTACAATTCAACAAATCATAATCAATTAAAAATAATTTTGATTAAAGTTAAATAACCTATGAAACACATACACTCCAAATATGACACAGACGCAACGATATCTATAATAATTTAAAAAATAATAAATTAAATGTAATTACAAATATCAGTGCAAGTGTTTGATACCGACACAGACACAAATACGTTCTTTTTCAGAGATGTCGGTGCTATATAGTAAATAATTTTAATAATTAAATGATTAAAATTGATTGGTTGTAAAAAATAAGTTATAAAAAAATCACCTGCTCTTGACATTCTGTTTTTTGGTCACAATAATTTTGATCTATGATTATGGGATTTGTCACATTTTGCATAACTATGTTGAGAAATTTGATGTTTTTTGCATAGCCAGAGCCTCCCTGTTTTTGAGATATAAAAAACAAGGAAAATAAGATATTAGACTAAATAAATAAAACTCTACATCACTATAAAATTATATATATAAATCGAGTTTTTAAAAGTTAAAATTTTCTTAAAAAATAATTAAAAAAAATGGGATATAATAGATTTAATTTACACTATTATACTGAAAAATTATAAAAATGATATTATTTTTAATCTCAAACAAAAGAATTTAAAGAAGCCAAAATCTAAAAACACTATAATTGCTATAACTAAAATGACTAAAATCATAATTTTAAACAATATATTATAATAAATGGCAAATGTATTTTCACTAATTATATTGATAAAGAACTATACCATCCTTAATGTGATGCCATTCCATGAAAAACAAATGAAAAATCAAACTATTTGTTGGTTGAAATTAGTTAAGAAGAAAGACTAAAGAAAGTTGACCAACATAATTTTAAAAATATAAAATGTTGTTGACATGTTTGAAATAATAAGGTTAGGAATTGGTGGAATTTATAAAGTTGCCAAACTTGGTTAGTTAAAGTATCTCAACTCAAACTTTATTTTTATATTTAGTAAATCTAAAAATATGAAAAATAAAATTTATGATATATTAATTATTTATTTTTAAAAAATAAAATTTTAATTTTTAAAATACTAAAAATATAATAATAATTACTATAGGATAGTAGTTTTTCACAATTATACGATTTTATTCGATTTTATTGAAATTTTAAAATATCATTTTAGTCAAAATCACGGTTCATTTAAATAGTTTTACCGTCAATAAAAACACATAAATAATTGAAATATGGAAATATTTTAATTTAGTTATTTTAATATTAAAAATATATTTTTCATGTTGGTCACAAAATTTTGACTTAAAAAGTAGTAGTAAATTTTGAGTGCATTATTACTTCATTTATCAATTGGTCAACTTTCAATATAGTGCTAATGCACCTAAATTGGCCCTAAAAAAATTCTATACTTTATACTTTATATTATTATTTTAACAACCCTTAATTTATTGTATTAATGCTTAATTAATTACCTGCCAAGTCTTAATTCTAACTCCATTAGTGCTTCCTTTTAGTGTGGCTCTGTTCACTTCCACATTGGACACTTGAGCTTCTGAATTATCTTGTCCTAAGCTTCCAATGCTACAAAATAAAAAAATAAAAAAATAATACATTAACATTTTTAAATTCAATATAAAATTAAATTAAAAAAATAATTAATTAAGAGAATTATGAACCTTATTCCATGTCCTGGTCCACATATGATATCTGTAGCTCTAATATTTTTGGACCCACTTACTATGGAAATACAATCATCACCTTCAATAAAATAGTGAGGAAGAATATTAAAAATATTTAAATTTCTAAAAAAATAATTTTATAATATTATATATTATAAAAAATAATATTATAATACACTATACATTAAAAAATAATATTATAATATAATACTATTTCGATCAACAAAATTTTAATATAAAAATCAGACATACTAAATCAAATATATAATTTTGTTTTATATATATATATATATATATATATATATATATATATATATATATATATATATATATATATATATATATATATATATATATATATATATATATATATATATATGTGAGAATTTTTAATGATTATTATCACATTATTTATCAGATAAAAAATGTGAAAAATATATTTTTACCAGTTCCAATGATGCTATTGGTTATGAAAACATTTTGTGAGTGAGTAACATGAAATCCATCAGTGTTGGGGCTATCTCCTGGTGCTCTGATTATGAGATTTGAAGCCCAAACATTATTGCAATTTTGAACTCTTATATGCATTTGTTGTGCATTTTTGAACTTTAGGTTATTCAATTTCAAGTTATTGCATTCACTGAATGTCACAGCCTATATATGCAAAAATTAATTAATAAAATAAAATAAAATAATATGGAAACAAATATGTAATAAAGTTTACAAAAATATGGTTATTTAACTTACAGTTGGTGCCCCTTTGCATGGCTGTGAAACAAAAGGAGATAAAGAAATTAAGGTCAGTATGGGAATTTTCAATCAAGTTAAAATGATAAATATTTAGATATGGAATAATCCATATATGTATTTTCCTAGATGAAGAGAGAAAAAAAATCCATATATTAATTTATTAAAATTATTGAAAATAAAGTAAAATTATTGAAAAAAATTAAAATCAGTCGATGGATTAGAAAAGTGAAGTAATAGGAATTTGATTGAATATCATACAAGACTTTCGTTGACTTTGCAAGATTTGTTCCACCATATTTTTCCATTTCCATTAATGCTTCCACCACCATTAACTATGAGATTTGTCACATTCTCAAACTTAATCCATAGCGTCCTATCTTCTTCATATGCTGATATTTTAGGCCATGCTTTGATTGTTCCATAAATCTACCATAATTAAACAAAAACAGTTACAACTCGAAATAATAATCTCTTTAATTTTCCGCTAAACATTTTTAAGTTAGATTCAGCAATCACAATTTCCATACATTTAAACCGTCTGATCTCTATTCAACTATAGTTAGTTGATATAGTGACACGATAAAAATGTATGAAAATTACGAACTGCAATGAATATTTTATCTTATTTTACCTTTATCGCAGTATTGTGTTGACATGGTCCTGAAAATATTATTGGCTTTAGATGATAGACACTATTTCCAGGTACCACAAGAACTCTCCCATTAGAACATGCCTCATTCCATGCCTTTTCAAATGCCTATAATGCAAAAATGAGACACATGATTTAAAAAATCGCACTTATCTCTAATTGTAACCGTAACATTGTGCCACAGTCTTAATGTAAAGATGTGACAGTGACGACTAATATATATATATTTGTTTTACCTTGTTATCAATTTGTCCGTCGTTAGCTATAGCTCCATAGTCGTTGACATTAACCATTTTTTGAGACCGCGAAGGTGCGAGAGATGGATGATGAGTTCTTGCAATGACACGAAATTGTTCATATTTTGGATTCATAAACCTCCCATTGTAAAGTTTATGATTTGTTTGAAAATGTGTTTCTTCTAGGTAAGATGCAAAGCACAAGCCAAACGAGACTAAAATGGTGAAAATTTGTAGATACATTATTGAAAAAAGAAAGAAGAAACAAGCTCAAAGAAATGAAGCAAAATGAAAAAGTGGTAAAGAAGATGATAGAGATATTTGAGGTAAATGACAAAGGAAGAAGTGTCATGTATTTATAGGAAGGTTTGTAGCTTGGTTTTAAGAGAGAGAAAATGAGAACTGAATAGATAGAGAGAGAAAGAGAGTTGATTGTAGAAAAGAAACAAAGTTTTCTTAGGATTGAGATGTTGAGACTTGGAAGAAAAACTAATGATGGGGTGTTACCAGAATTTAGGAAACAAAATCAATTTTGGGTTAGTTATTTTCTTGTTCTATCACTATGTGCTTGTTTACCAATAATTCAAGCATTTTATGTGTTTTCATGTTGACCATTTTTTATACCTTAATCATGATATTCGACCCAAGGACTGTACGATCGAGGATGATCTTATGGTCTATCTGCAGAATCTCATTTAAAATCAGAACAAAATTTTATCTGAACAGAGTGATCTGCGAAATTTCGAAATTTTTTTTACCATAGTTATTATTATATATATGTGAAGGATTGAGTTCAAATAATTGATGAGATTTGCATATAATAACAAAAGTAAAAATTTGAATTTTATTCATGATTCAAATACTTTCTGATCAAATAGGAACAAATTCTTGATTAATGTTTAATAGTTTTATTTAGTTGTTAACTTCTGCTTAATTTTAGAAGCAGTGTATATTTAAGATTTGGCTTCTATAATTTTGGTATAAAGGTTACTTACTCCTCTTGATTAACTGAGATTTTTTTCCAGTCAGAAAAAGGAAATAAATGATGACATTTGTAACATTAACTCATTAATTTATAAAAAATTAAATTGGTAAAACTGATTGATATAGAATGTGGTTTTTACTATTAAGTTATTTATTTTCTTAACGTATGTCGGATAAATCTATCATTTTATTATTTTATTTTAATATTGATCGTATCTTGTCTCTATCATGTACATCAAATGAGCCCTATACATGTAATGCAAATTTGAAATGCATTATGTAAAAAGCTTTAAAAGGTAGATTTGAAATAGTGGCCTCCTTTTATTATAAGACTCAAATGGGTATTTATACATCATTACAAATTATTATAACTAATCAACTAAATTAAAAAAACAAAATTTGACGGGTGGTAACTGAATCCCGTAGGTTTGTGATTGGTTAGGAAAACATTCTTTTTAGAGTGGTAATCAGTTGCACATTCTAATAATCGGTTGTAAAACGCTATTGGTTTAGGTGGTAATCGGTTGTACGAAAGTGGTAACCGGGTACGAGAAGCTTCTGTTTGAATATGGTAATCGGTTACAGCCATAGCGTAACTGGTTACAACCACTACTTTTTCTCAACACACCACCTTAGTTCAAATCTTTCAAGTCTTTCATACTCACGTATTTCTTCAACCTCTTGAACACCTCAATTGACACTCATTCAGTTAGCCGATCAACCACTTGATCTTCACTTTTGCAATACCCCAACTTCAATTTTCCTTCACTTACAAGCTCTCTCAAGTAGTGAAATCTCATCTCTATATGATGGCTTCTCCCAGGTGCGATGACATTCTTGGCAAGGTTTATAGTGGACACGTTGTCTATCATTAATGTCACAACTTCATTCTCTTTGCTGCATAACTCCTTCATCAAATTCATCTACCACACAACTCGACACACACACAGACGCTATAATATACTCAACCTCGCAAGAAGAGAGTGCCACAATTGGTTCCTTCTTCGAACACCAAGAGATTGGTCTTCTCCACACATAAATATGTATCCAAATGTAGATTTTCTATCATCTTTATATCCACACTAGTTTGAGTTGGTATAATTGAGTAATTTACAACTTTTATCTCTATTAGTTGCTAGAAACAAAATTTTGTAGCCAATCAAACCTTTGACGTATCTCAAAATTTTCTTGACCGCTGTCAAGTTTGATGCCTTTGACTTCCCTATGAATCTGCTCATTATGTCCACATTATATGCCAAGTCTGGTCTCATATTGCACAAGTAGTACAATGATCCAATCATCCTCCTGTACTGCGTTTGATTAATATCATGCCCATCTTCTTTCTTTAACAGTTGCAACCTTGGTTATGCATGGGGTAATGGCCACATTATAGTTATCCATTTCAAACTTCTTCAATATATCAAATGCACACCTCCATTGATGCATGGGCAACCCTTTTCCGAACTTGCGAAACTCAATGCTAAAGAAATATGTCATAAGACCAAGGCCAATCATATCTAACCTTCATTGGTGCACGTAATCAGTAAATCATCGGTGTAGAAATATAGAGTTATCACTCATTTACTTGTATCCTTCTTCATATACACTTCATGTTTGGATACACATTTATCAAATCCTATCTCCTTTAGAAACCCATCAATTCTTTTGTTTCGAGCTCTTGGTGCTTGCTTCAGCCCATATAATGCCTTCCTTAGTCAATAGAACTTGGATTCTTGATTTTCACAACAAACCCAGGTGGTTGTACTACATACTCCTCATCTTCTAATGGACTATCAAAAACTCACATTTGACATCTATTTGGTAGATGAACCAATTGTTGTTATTTGCAATTCCAACAACTGGCCTTATAGTTTAGATTCTAGCCATAGGTGCAAATACTTCATCAAAGTCAATACCTTCCTTTTGCAAGAATTCCCTTGCTACTAATTTAACCTTGTACTTCATCATTTCCCCTTTGGGATTAACCTTCGCTTTGTACACCCACTTTACACCAATTTTCTTCTTTCCTTGAGATATATCAACTAGTTCCCACGTCTTATTTTTCTCAATTGACTCCATCTCCCCTTCATTGCACATATCCATTTTGGATCACTCAAGGCCTCGTCCGTTTTCACCGGTTCAAATTCATCTATGAGTGCAAAATGAATAAGATCACCATTATCGTTTACTTCATTATGCGAGAACAACTCACAATCTTGCGATCTCGCACCATGGCTCTTTTTCTTGATTATCTTCTCGCATTTTCTTCCATTTGTACTTCACCGTTTACAATTTATGGCTCTCTAAACACTTTAGAAACAGGTCCAACATTGTGGTAATCAATTACAGATGGATATTAATTAGTTACGACCTATTTCCAGTCCCTGATTTCATCAAAAATCATGTCCATACTGATCACAATTCTCTTGTTTACTACAACGTAGAGTTTGTATCCACCCGTTGAGTAATACCCAAAAAGTATCATTTGATCTCCCTTGTAATCTAGCTTCTTTCTAATCTGATCCTAAGCATGTCTATACACCACTGAACCAAATACCCTCAAGTGACTCATACTCGGTTTAAATTTAGATAATGATTCTTTGGGTGTAATATTTTTAAGCTTTTTAGTTGGACACCTATTCAATAAAGATGCCACTGTGAACACCACTTCTCCCCACAATTATTTTCAAAAGTGCTTCCATTTAAACATGCTTCTTACCATGTTCATATTTGATCAGTTCTTTTTTTGGTGAATCCATTTTGTTGAGGTGTATAGGGTGGAACTACCTCATTTACGATGCCCTCTTGATCACGAATTTTCCCAAAATGTTTGAGACATATTCACCTCCACATTCTGTTTTTAAGGTTTTAAATTTTGTGATCACTTTGTCTTTCTACCTTGGATTTGAACTTCTTCAAGACTTCACACACATCATCTTTTCTTTTGATCAAATAAGTCCATAGTTTTCTAGTATAATCATCAATGAAAGTGACAAAGTACCTATTTTGTTTATTCATCCCATATATTTGTTAAATATGCCTTTGTGTTGCTTGGCATGTATACACTCTTCACATACTCAGTTTTCATATTTATCAATGGTTTCCCTGTAACCATGTTTCTTTTTTGCATAGCATTAATATCTCTAAATTTCAAATTCCCAAACTTATATAGTTCCATATTCATTACTCCCTACTAGGTGCAGTTACAAGAGACCTATGCTCCATTACTTTTAGTTCAACCTTGAAAGTTCTGTTATGAATCACATGGGCCTTTAGGATCATACTCCCATTTGCATCCATAACTTTCAACGTTTCTTTCTATGTGAATCTTGCAATTACTTTCAAGAAATTGACTAATGCTTAAAAGATTATACTTGATTCCAGGAATATACAACAAATCTTTAATCAAATAATGTCCACCATTCTTTTTCTTGATTAATACATCACCAATCCCATCTGCTGATAGTACGTTGTCATCCCAAAATTTCACCTCATTCTTCATGTCTAGATTGATTTTTACAAACCAATCCTTCATTCTCACCATCTGAATTGAGCACCAGGAGTTAAGGTATCATTGATTGCTGCATTATGCATCTTCTCCCATAATCATCATCACATTTTCGATTAGTGGTAACCGATTACCGCAGACTTGTAAACTATTACAACTACCTTCTGCCACATCTAGCATTTGATTACTTATAGAGAGTAATTGGTTACTACTGTATCCTGTGTTTTTTCTTCTTCAGTGATCACCATTAGCAGCATGTTCTCACCATTATCCTCTTACCTTGCAAACTTTGCTTCAGCTTCTTATGAATCTTTCCTGTTGGCAGTACATTCACTAACAAAATGTCCAATATTTTGACAATAGTAGCATTGTACATTAATCTTATTAAATTTCTTCCATCCTTCTATTTCTCTATTGTTTCCACCTTTGTAATTACTTGATCCACCATATCTGTTGTACCTGCTTTCATCCTTTTGAATGTTAAATTGTTGGAATTTTGGGAGTCTCTTCCACCATTGTTTTGATAGTTTCCTCTACCTCTATTCATGGACCAATTTCCCTTCACTTTCTTGTCTCATCCAATGAAATGGGCTTGCAACGCAATCTTAGCCTTTGCCTTGTCAGCATTCCTCTCCTCCATTATCTACTCATGAACATCAAGATAACTTTACAATTCTTCTTTGCTCACGGTTGAAAGATCCTTGGACTCTTCAATCGTAACCACTACATTATCAAATATTGATATTAAAGA